GCCAAGTGGAAATGCTGCCTGGTCACTTAGAGCACACTATCTGTGCTAATCTTCCTACGTCAGGGCGGCCCAGAGCAGAGTCTGCGGCGTAGACTTCTGCTCCCAGACTGAAATATGCAACACGGCCCTGTCTCTGTAGGAGCTCTAGTTGGCCAACAGGGGATTAAAGGGCCTTGCTCTGACCTCCAGGCTGCCTCCTGTGCTGCATAACTTTAAAGTACTATTTGCAATGTAAATGCAAATCCATATTTTGTTTACAAACTTGCACTTGATTTTTTTTGGCGTTGCGGCACATTCCCGATAATCGCCCTTGTCTGCAGCGCGCGTGCAGCGGCGTGTGAGTGACTCTGACAGCTTGACATGATTCCTCCATCAGATAGCATGCACTAATGATCGCTGCTCTTGTGTTGTTATGAGATAACATCTAATTTCCTGTCTCTCAAGTCATTTTACAAAGACATCGTCTGCTCATTGTGAAATCAATATGCTGTGGAAACACTATTATAACGGTCTTCACAGTGCTTGAGTGAATCGCTCGAATTCACCCAGGAATGTGTACACACACACACACACACACATACGCACACACGAGTGTGGGCTAAAACTAACACACAGCAGAGGAACACAAACACACTGTCACCTCCAGAGTGTCCTTCATTATAACAAGGCTTATTGAACTGCCCAAAAAGAGTACTCACTGTAATTAAATTAGGCCTCGCACAAGAGCAAAACCAGTATCAGGATAAATTATACTGGGCGCAGTGGGCTCTCTGGGGACGCACAGAGAATCATGGTCAGTGTCGTGCCTTTGCCAGCAGATAGACAGGTCATTTGTAGCAAAGAACACAGGCAGGAAGAATGCATTCGCAGGGTTACTAAAAATACACGGTCCTGCTGAGGGGTACTACACGTCTATTTATTTTCATTTCAAATGTTTGACTTTGTGGAAAATCAATATTTAAAATGTCCAGTGAGGTTTTTGTAGCACCGACAACTCGACTATTCATTTTGCCATACAGATAATTACAGAGGGTTTTGAATCAATGAGACAAAAGACGTTTCAATTTAGGGATGTGTTGGCTAAAGTGTAGCTTTAAAAAAATGTCCGCAAGTCACTTCTAAGTAAAACACTGTACCTAAAAACAAACCAAAATATATCGTAGATAGAAATGTATGTTCTTAACAGATAAAAATATAAATGTATCAATAAGCTAAGATTACAAAAGCTAAATAAAGTTAAATTAGCAAATAGCTTAGCACAAAAAGTTAAAAAGAAGCTACAAATAGCTTTATCAAACACTGGAATATAACAACTGTTGCCCAGCAATGACAATCCCTTTGATAAAACCGTGTTCAAATAGGTTAAAAAAAAACCACAACTATAGCTACGTTAATAAGCTAAAATTAGCATAGCTCTAAGTAAAACACTAGCCAAAAAACGAGCTAAGAAATGACAACATAGTTCCAAAAGTTAAAAGAGACCTCTGCTGGTGAACTGATCCAACAGTAAAAAATATCTTCCTCCATTTATTTTAATAGGAGGGGTCTTCAGCAGAGAGTCTGAGACCCCCGGGCGGATACTGCAGTGGGTACATTACATTTTTGGTTGATTGTACAGTTCATTTAATTTTAAATTAAGTAGCCATTATAAGTGTTGACCTCCAAGACACCATGTTGCCATTATGGTCAATAAGAATTAAAAATATATCAAGTAAGAGTTTTTTCCAAGATGTGTCTGAGAAATCAATTTTAAACTCATTGAGAATTCATTCTAATTTTAACGCCTTTGTCCTCAATATTAAGTTAGCATTTTCTGTGTCTTTTCCGTGTCTTTGTCAAAGTCTTTGGTTCTGTTTCACGTCATCTTACCATTTCATTATTATTACGTTGTCGTCTTAATTAGCCGTAAAACACAAGTGACAGATTGATCAGTGGCAAAATGTTTTTTTTCTTTTTTTTCTTTTTTTTTTGCAATGATTTAAGATGTAGGAAAAGACAGGACATTATCCAGACATTGTCCCGACCCGTGTTGGTGAGGACAGTAAACGGACACGTAACAGGGAGGGATCATTGGAAACAGATGCGCGTTCATTCAGGGCAGAGAAAAAAACAACAACAAACAAACAGCAGAGATAGAGGAGAACACCAAACGTACTGTATCTTTCTAAGAGCAAACCTCAAAGAGCGTTTAAAAAAACAACAACAATGAGACGATGACAGTCTAAGGACCTGCGACTGTGTGATTTAAAGTCTCTCTCTCTCTCTCTCTCCCTCCCTCTCCTCTCTCCCGCTCCCTTCCTCTCTGGCACAGCTATAATTTTCCTGGCTGGAATGATGGATGAGGCGGTGTCAGCCCATGTTCATTATAATGCACACCATCTATTCTTCTCAGCCAGACTCTTCGCGCTCCAGGAAATGCCAGAGCGGTATTGGAGCCGCGGAGAGAGGAGAAACTCTCATCTGATTTTATGGAGAGAATTTGCTGCTAGGTGTGTGTTAACTCGGCGCAGAGTGATCCATCAATCACTAATGAAGATACTGTGAGCATCTCTGCTTGTTCTTAAAAGAAACACATTCCACTCCGGGTGTAGGCCATAAACAG